TAGTTACTCCCCTTATTTCCTCTTTTGGGGATGTTTTGCCCCCAGATCCGCAGGGAGGAGAATGACCAGAGTAGTGCGGGATTTTCTCTACGCCCAACAAGTGCAGGCTCCCGTGGAGCTCTACTCTGACTGGCTGGCTGTGGGCCACGTCGATGAGTTCCTCACTTTTGTGCCCACCTCTGACAAAAAGGTACCCCAAAACCCCACACCACTCCACAGTTTCTCTTCTGAGATACTAATCCCACTGGGGCACCTCTAGGGAAAAACCCCCAAGCTCATTTCTTCGACAGTCCCAGCTTGGGTTTTCACCTGGCCCCAAAACAAGACGGAACACAGAAAGGGACTTGCTAAACTAATAATCCACACAGATAGAAGAAAGAAAAGATGCCTGAAAAAGTAGTTCAAGAAATTTAAGCCTTAAAATTCACATGGGCTGCCCAGAAGTTTTCAGAAGACAGCACTTTCCTCTGTCATGCTTCTGACATGAGCCCTTTCCCCATTCCTTGACCTGGATGGTTGCTTTGATGTACACATCCCCCACAAACCCTCCACACAGTGTTTTGCCCTCCCCAGTGCTGTGTAAACCCCCACAGGAGATGCTATCAAGACGGCAGCAAGCAGCCTCCAGCACTCCACCAAGGAGCAAGGAGACCATTTCTGCTAGTGGGAAGGGAGCAAGAACACACATGGGGTTCACAACCTACAAATTCACAATTCCCATGGGATTAGCTTAATATCAATTTTTGGCTTCTTCTGAGGAAGTCAGAGCCTGATTATTCACTCACTCCATCCTCTCTCTACAACACAATACCAGCCCAGAGACAAAAACACCAACTTAGACACCAACCACACTCACTCACCATCCCAGCTCACCCAAACCTCCAACAAACACCCTCCTGGGGGTTTATATACCCCACCTGGGGTGGGCAGGATTGGACCCAGCTGCAGCCAGTCTGCAGTTTTCCTCCCTGTCCCAGCAGCAGTTTAACCCCTCAGAGATGGTTAGGTGGGTATTTGCCAGCAGCATAAATCACTGTGCCTCATTTGGACACAAACCCTCCGCACTGCATTAAAAAAGGCACTAAGTAACAGCAAAAATATCCATTTTTAAGAGTTTAAGATCAAGTTTCTCACAAAAATAAACCCCTGAGGTCCCCCAAGGCTTTGGATAAGGCATTCTGGTGACTGCTCTCCCTCCTGTCTCGCCCCAGCGATTTCGGATGCTGATGGCCAGCCCCGCAGCATGCTACAGGCTCTTTCGGGAGAAGCAGAAGGAGGGCCAGGGCGAAGCCACCATGTTCAAAGGCAAGGGGACAGCAGGCTGCTTCAGCCGAGCTTTGATGTCGGCTGAGACAGCCGGCGCTGCCCCACACACGAGCCGGCCCGAGGGCGGCAGCGGCTGACACGCGTG